CCCAATATATATATTCATCAACCAATAGTTGTTTAGAAGTTTATACTAGTATTCCTAAGTTTAATTGAACAAGGGTAATGATATGCTTGGGCCACAAAGGCTATTATAAGTTGCCTAAGTTTCCTCTTAGGCAAAGAATGGTTATATGTTGCCTAAGTGTGACCTCAAGCAACATATAAATGATTGTATGTTGCCTCAAACTATCTTAAGCAATGTCTTATCCTGGGTTGCCTTAGTAGAATGTTGATCACCCAAATTTTTTTAACAAATGGTCAAAGTTAACTTAGGTTCTCATGTAACATTGAGAAAGCAACACTTCTTAAGCAACGTGGCCTCGTTGCCTAAGCCTTAAGCAACATATAAACACCTCTTAGGCAACATTTTTCGTTTGTTGCCTTAGTGGCATTTAGAGGTAGTGGCATTAGGTATCAATTAACCATAAAAAGGAATAAAAAATTGTGGATTGATTTCTAAGGAAAACGTTGAAGGTGGGTCTCCGTTGAAAAGTGATCGAGATTCCATCTGTTTTTTTAATAAAGTAAAGGATTTTCCCTCTAAAAATTGTCATAATTTTGTCATAATTTTTTTATGGGAATTTCTGTTAAATTTTTCTGTTGTTAATAGCCAATATTCTAGTAGTGATTGTTTCCGGCAAATTAGTTCATTTATCAATCCATTAATTGAATCCAACATCATTTTGTGGGGAGAAAATCAGACTAATTAACATAAATTTCATTCTCGACTTGCTAACCTTGTTTCCATTTCGTCATCGCATGATCATATATTTCATTATATATATATATATATATATAAAGAGAGAGAGAGAGAGAGAGAGAGAGAGAGGAACAATGAAATGAAAACCACCTTCATTTGTACAAACCGTACAAACCACCCTCATACGTTGATTTCATTGTTTAATCTTATGAAATTTTTTCATGAAATTGTTTCAATAATATTTTTTTTGATGAATTTGTTTCATATACAGTTATGAATTTGTTTCATATAATATTTAATGAAATTTTAATGAAACCGTTTCATG